GCAAACATTATCATGTAGTTATTACTTTAGGAAAATAACATCAGTTTCAAGAACAAAAATGAGAACTATGTTTATATGTTTATGTTTCAATGGCCACAAGCATTGAAACCTCCATTATTCCCTTGGTTTCTAGCCATACGAGAGCACCACGGGGAATTTTGGTTGCAAATAGACAGTCTGTTAAGGTGTCTAGTGGGGCTCCCTGAAAAAGTTGACATCTAATCTGCTTTTTGATCATTCTTGTAAATTCAATGCTGTCAGCAAATGCAATCTTCAGGATAGCCTCTGAGCGCCCCTCAAAAGATAGTCTACAGATAACCTAGAGAAATCTTGGATCTTTCAAAGGTCTAAACACAAACCATACAAATGTAGCAACAGTTAATAGTAAATACACATATTTAATGTCAACTGTATTCTCAGTGTGCATATCTGCAATGACAATCAAATTACAATAATTCCAACTACACAGTTGAATTTCCACAGTTTGTTTGTTTTAAATTCTTCATTATCAAGAACAAATCAAAACAAAATATTTGGATGAAAAATCTTAGGGAAAGAAGTTCCGTGGCAAAGAAAAATAATCATAGCAGAGATTTCTCATCAATACATGAAAAAGAACATCTAAGGCATACATTTAGAAATGTAACAACAAACAAGATGGATTTAGACTTCTCAACTGGAAACCAAACTTTGCAATATCAACATACTATATCTGGATTCACAGTGTGTTTCAGAGTGGCTGCAGTAGGGTCTTAAAACAGTTTGAAATGAACTCCATGTGGCTGTTGTGCTCTTGCAAAACAGAACTAACCTGAGGCTGACCACCCATGACATGTTTTCACATGCCCTTTAAACTCCTCTAGAAAAAGAAACATGACCGTATTCAAAAAGACATTTGAATGAGATGTATCTGCTTTACAGAAAAAGCAGCGATTTATTTATATTTTTTTTAACCTCTTTGCTGCCGGACCTTCAGTCTTAAAACAGCAGTCTTTTCACATGCTGGCATTCTGAGAAATGACATATATGACAACTGTTCTCTTAAGTATGTGGTGTAGCACAGAAGCAGTTAAACATACCTTACAGATCACAGTTTATCTAACAAAGTACTAAATGGCTTGTCTTTGGAAGTGCCTCATATAACGAGATAACAGAAGGTAAGTGGAGCTACTAAGCAAAACATTAACACTAATCAGCAAAATAATTTTAACAGATAACCAACAAAGCACTGGTTAATTAAGGAATACTTTCAGGCATGTCTTCACATTTCTGATACGGTATTGGGTACAATTGTCTGTGATTGCTCTGTGTAAGAAAATCCCATAAAATTAGAACACAAACTATACAACTATACAACATGACTAAAGCTTTACCAAATCACTATCATAAAGTCAAGTAGTCATGTAAAGAAAACTAGAAGTAAATGATTGTGCACATGGCTCAAAAAGCACTTGTAATACACAGTTACTTTAAAAGATCTAGAACCTAAACATTAAGAAAAATCTCAATTAAAAAAAAAAAAAATACATTGCGGATGGCCACTCAATTGATGGGAAAATGTATACATTTTCACCTTGCAAGAGATTTTTCTTAGACAAATTATCAGAAGTTGTAAGCACTCACATTCTGAAAGTGAATATCCCTTCCTATATGTATCTAGACAGTCCATTTGTTAACTGAAGCACCACGCAGACATCCAAGCAAGTTTAGGTACCAAAAGCACTTTACCTGCATTAGTTCAGGATAGATTACAGTACCTCAAAGATGTAAAGATAAGTTAATTTTTTTTTTTTTTTTGCTACTATGCAGACTTATTTCTCAAGAGAATGTAGTTTCTGATCAACTAGAAAGGGATGCATTTTTCAATTGCATTAACTCAAAATGTTTAGAACAGAATGACTGAAAATGTTTTTTGAAGTCAATGAGCTGTGGATGTTTTAAAGTTACTATGAACTTAAAAAAGCTTATTAATTTAAACACTGCAGCTATTCCTGAATAATTTCACATCATGACACTTATTCCAGAATAGACATACTATTCACATCTCTCTTGGTTCCAAAGTAAGTGAAACTAAACAAAACTTTTGAAGTTTTTATGTGATGTAATGGCAAAATACAAAATGGCCACACATAGAATCGCAGAATGGTTTACACTGGAAGGCACTAAGGTAGATTCTCCTGGGCTGTTAGTACTAACAAGTAGTAACAAGTAACACATCAGTGTTAAGATGTTTGTAGTCCTAAAGCCTAAGGACAGCATGTTAGCTAGGTACATCAATGCATTTGAGCAGAAATGTAAGTTGAAAAGCCATTTCAAATGATGGATGCCCTTGTGAATACTAAGATGAACTGGGCAAGTCAGACATATCCTAATTCAATCGAAGATAATAATGAAACCCTACTTCTAAACAACATTTTGGAAAATGTTAATAAGCATAACAAATTTATGCACGTGACAATCTAGAAATTTATATTGTCTTGTGAGCTAAGTGAATTATGTTAGTATTAGTAGAAGGCTGCAGAGAAGAAGAATACCACCATAACAAAACATAATCAAAGACAATTTTAGAAAAGCTTAGGCTTAATCATTCTGAGATTTAATTGGATTGAAAAAAGAAAAAAGAAAAAAGAAAAAAGAAAAAAGAAAAAAGAAAAAAGAAAAAAAAAAGAAAAAAAAAAGAAAAAAAGAAAAAAAAAAGAAAAAAGAAAACAATGGTGAGATGGTGACTACAAACATTTGAATTCATATGCTAGGTGGTACAACTATAAGATCATTCATTTCTTTTTCATCTCTGATGTGCTACCTCCTCTCCTGCCACTGATTGCATTGCACTTTTTTTTCTTTTTTTTTTTTAAATTTCAGAAACCCGAATCACTACAAATGATGAAGGTGGGTTTCTTTGTTGTTAAAAAAAAAAAAAAAAAAAAAAAAAAAGGACAGATGTTTCTTCATTGTCTTTAGAAAAAGTGAATTCCTCTGCTACCATAAAAGCTAACCCTTTGCAGTTGCAGGCTAGACAGCCCTGCAGCAGCAGCAACAGCTTTTCCATGCTCTGGCAGTGTCATGCTGTCAAATTAGTTACTTACATGCCACAGAAAAGACAATTCTATTTTTTGCTATTGTTACATTTTTTACTCTGACAAAGCCCCTGCCTTAGAGTTCTTACAGTGCAAGGCTATAAAAAAGATGGTAGATACTTGATACTATGAAAGAGGGCTTCTCAAAATTTTCTCATGTTCCTGTATAGAAGTAAGGTAACAAACTTTACACGTGCAATTGTCATACTGCTAACACCACTTTCTGCTATATACAAGCATCTGCAATACTTTTGCTTAATTGTGCTTCTTATTATCTAACTGTGCACCTTTATAAACAGTGTACAATATAAGGTATACATGATCCTTACCCTTTGTTATGGTTTACAAGTGTTACTGTATGGCACTGTACATATACAGAAATACTTAGTTGGATATAGAAGCACTGAATAACCTGGCACTGCCAAGTCTACCACTAGACAAGGCCTCTAAGCTCCACATCTACACGTTTCTTGAAGACCTCCAGAGATGGTGACTCAACTATTTCCCTGGGCAGCCTGTTATAATATCACACAACCCCTTCAGTGAAGAAACTTTCTTCATCATATCCATGATGACACAACATACTCCACTGACTTGAGCTTCACCGTAGGTAAACTGATTCCAAACCATCTGTCTCTGACTATGTCATATTGGTCTTAATAAATCTTCTTTTATCAGTAAGATTTCTAAGTCCAGGAACAGAGTATTGCAAGTTCTAAAAAAAAAAAAAAAAAATTCTTCCATTGCATCTGCACCACTGAATTTGTTTGGAATATTTTTAAGCCATAACAGCTATTTAAGATAATTCAGGAGCAGGGAGAAAAAGATCATCAATGACAAAGGAATATTACCTACAGTTTAAATAATCACAATTTCATTCCCATTGTTTATTTAAAAAGGCATACACAGTGTGAAGTCAGTAGGAATGTGGACACAGACTAAAAAGGCATCAGGGACCCAGTAAGTGACACAGCACTCTGTTTCAGAACTAAATTGAAGAAACAAATGTTATGGGATACTAGGGCTACTAGTATCTACTAGGATACTGGATACTAGGGATACCAGTCTTAACTTCAGACATTGGTTCAACAGAGAGAACCCTAAAAATCTTGATTATAGTTTCAAGGTATCACCTAAACAGAACTTAATGTTTGATTCTGAGAAAGAAATTACACTTACCCTGAGTCCAATAGACTCGTTGTCCCTGCTGGGTCACTTAACTTTTCCTCCTGGAAGAGGCTGCTACACAACTCACCCGACAGTGGTGTGTTAGAGTGGGCCATCACATCAGGTACTTATGGACAACACCAAGAACACCAATTTACACTGGCTAAAGTTTTGATATTGCTTCAGCAAAAGTTTTTCTTTTTCTTTAACTAAAAGAATTGGTCAAATCCATTATTTTATTTTTTTTAACAGGAAACATTAAAGTAGGCTTAGGCAGATTTATCAGTTTTTATACAGCTTACATTCAAAGACTGTGTTCCCTTTCAGTAGAAGAGTTCTAACCACACTGCACACATTTGTATTCAGATAGATGTGTGTTTCTGCAGACAGTCCCAAATGCTGTTTAGTGATTGTATGCATACTTAATTTTAATATCATGCCACCCACACTCTACTGCATGAAGCATCTGCAGGGGGAAAACACACATACATGACACACGCACATACAAACTTTATCCCTTTTACTCTTTAAACCTCAATAAAACAGAAATGAATTTACATTACTATATATCATTATATATATATTATATATATATATTATATATTATATTATATTATATACATATTATATTATATACATATTATATTGCTTATATATTATATAAGCAATATATAACTGATATTATATATATATATTATATTGCTTATATATATTATATTACTTACATATATACACACAATATATCATTTCATACTAAAAAGATCTGTATTTTTTTAATGCAGGTCACCACTGTCCCTCTTCATTAAAAACTGGAGAGTGGTCGGTCTTCTCAGCAGTGTTATAAATGGCTCGGTCTTCAAAATAGGATTATAATCAAAGTTTACAATTTATTAAAGGAATAGAGGTAAGCAAACAGCGCATATATATATATACATATATATATATGAACATATGTAACAGCAGAAAGAACATATATAACAGCAGAAAGAACAGATAGAGTAAAACAATATTTAACAAATACAAAAGGCAAATTTAAATCGTTCCATTGAAAAAGCTTCAAAGATTATCACAGCCCAATATTCAACAAGAAGATCAAAGTACTATAAAGGCATATTGATTGGGTGTCTCCCTTCCCTCTGGATACACTTTGTGGTGTATCAAGTGCCTACAGAGAACACAAACTCTAAATGAGGAATACATTTCTCTGAGCATGGTGCCCACAGATCCTGAAGCCAACATGATACTCACTGACAGCAATAAATCACTACAACTATTAAATTGAATCACTATTTGCATTTTTCACAGTAATAAATGTGGGTTATTATCAAATACATTGGATACCATAAAAAAACAATAACTTTATTGAATTTTTTTTTCCCTTTTTTCAAAAGAACACATTTTTTTGTTCTCTCAGCTAAGAAATGTTCTTGTACAACAGCTAACTTGGAAAAATCATGAGACTTACCTTAGAACTGAGAAGCTTAAATTAGTCAGTTTTAATCACTTAACTACTTATTTTATAGTCTACAGACAAAAATAAAATAAATAAGGTGGGTTTACTTCAGCTGAAAACTTTTAAATACTGTTTTATTAAGACAGCAATAAGATTCAAGACCTTCAACAGGTTTCCCATAATGCATACTGTAAGCTGCTTTGAATTAGTTATCCTACTACACTCTTGAAGAGATTCCACACTTACCCTGATAAAAAGATATCATAGGTATAGGTATTGGAAGCTGACAGTGGTAGAAAATTTGAGGGGATAAAAAAAACCACCAGCAACTTGCCCTTGAAAATCAACCAATACCTAAAAAACATACAACCCAATTAAATTCAAAATCCATCTTACGAGAAAGTTAGACATAACTGCTTTCACTGTACGTAGCTAAGAAAGGGGGAAAATACAAAGGAATGCATCTCTAAGTTTAGTCTAAACCTAGATATACCTCGTTATATTTAAACAGGTGTTTAAGAGTTAGTTACTTAATGTTTCACAAGAAGATATAAAAGATCTCTGGACAGTTAACTTCACACAAACAGCAAGGGAGATCATGGGAAAACCTGACTAAGGTGAAAAAATAAAGGGGCCCTAGAGACAGCCTAGTTAAGCAGCAGCAAGAAGCAAATCTTCGTATAAAGGGCTTGTATATCAAGAACTTTACAGCAGAAAGTCCTACATGTTGATATCTAAATGACCAGCAAAAAATGGGTTTAGAACATTAAAAAAAAAAATCAAATGGTGTTTTAAAGATCTATTGATTTCCACTGCACATCTCAAGGTAACAAAGTTACTTTGTAGTTGAGCCAATAAAATAACAGATCTGCCAGGAGCTGGATTTCGACATGAAGTTTTTCTGTACTCTTGAATGAAAACTGAAAGATAGTTGAAGGTCTCGAAATAACAGGAATAAGTGGTATGTAAGTACATACACTTAATAACCACACACTGTAATTATGCAATAATCCCATTTTTCTTCCGAATTACATGTCAATAAATCTCTCACTGCATTATAAATTCCAAGGTCATGGACAGAGGTGTTTATTATTATAATTAAAATTCAGCAATAAAACCATTAAGCCTTTAGATTCTGATATTTTTCCACTTATTTTCCCCTTCACCAAAGGGAGAAATAGTTCCTAAAGACAGAATGCATGGAAAATATTGGACTATTACTTTTAAAGGACTACAAAAACACTCCGCCTCATTCAATTACTTTCTAAATAAAGGAAAAATAAATAAATTTTGACAGAATATCAGATTTTTTCTATTATTTTTAGCAAACAGACTTCAAGAAAAAGTACTCCCTGAAATGGGCAACATTACTACACTGTAAAGATATAAATAAAGGCATTCTAGATTTCACTGTGTATCAGTCATTAATAAATTTAACCCAAAACCACAAGGTCTCAGCCATCTGATCAAGTACTCAGAAGTAATTTGCAGACGAAACTATTGTTACTTGCAATTCTTGTTTCCACATTAGTTGCATTAGTTCTAGGCAAAATTCTACCTGTCTTGGTCACTTGCCTTAGTGGAAGGGTGCTTATGTGCGTAATTAATAAAAATGACTGTTGAAATCAGAATGCTGAATCAGACCAGCATGATCAAACTAATTCCATAATTTTCTATAAAAAGAAAAACCTATTTTCCTTCTTATTGAATGGAAAAATATATATATATTCTTAATTGGAAATTAACTCCTATTCTTAATTAGCTCCTTAAAGATTACCTAAAGTGATCTTACATAGTCATTACTTACTTCAGAGTTCTTTTTCAGTGCCTAAGTTACACCATAATTGTCATAATGGTGAGAGCATCTACCTCAGTTATCTTCAACTGTTTTGACACATTAAAAGTAAAATACAACATAAGAGTTTGGTGTTTTTTTTATTAGATAAATAATCTTTTTTATCTTATGAATTTTAGCATAACTGGCAATTCTTTTCACTGTTCTGTCATTGTAAAATAGATGTCATTTTTGAGATTATTTTCTTTAAGGGTAATACAGAATTGCCAAACAGATGCTTAATATTCTTACTGTTAACCAATAAACATTTTCTAGTAGAACAATATAAAAATAACAAAACACTCACTTGATATGAAGTAAGTATTCCAACTGCAATGTAAAGTCTTAAAATGTCAGTAAATTATTACTGGCATATTCAACTCACAAAACTGGACAAAAGGGGGAACTGCTGAAGAATGAAACAGTAAAAAAAAAATGCAATGCCAATATCATTTTAAAATAGGAGCATCTAAGTGAATTATGTTTGATGCAAAAATTTTAATTGTATTGAACTTCATGTTCAGTAATACACGTCCTACCACATAACTGCAAACCTTGTTATTTCTCATGTTCTGCTCATTAGTTATGTATCTTCCAGAAAGCCTGACTCAGAAAAGCTAAGGCAGACCTTCAAGAACTTAGTTGCTGGATTGTTTCATTGATGACTCCAGAGCAAGAACGGTACTTTTCTACCCACCATGTACTGACCTCAGTCCCTCCAGACTTGTGCATACTGATGAATGTTCTAGGCACACAACAAAGGAAATACACCAATGTAACAATCCGACTGTAAAGTCAGCTCAGTGAGGAAATGCAGAGGATCAATATTTTTAGTAAGGTGATTCCCTAAGTGGAAAAAGAACAGGGCAATCCTTCAATCTTGAACGTTAAAGGAAGGATGGCTGTGCAATAGAACATGTAGACTTGCTTTCAAAATGCTAAACATAGTATATTTATCTCTAAGAGAAAAATCAATTTACAAATTACTGATATTAAAAAGAAAAAAAGCAATCAGAAAGACAGTAAGATGGACAAACATGTCGACATGATGGACAGTAACATGGACAAACATCATGGAGAGATATATCAGAACTGTAGATTGAGAAATAGAATGCAGGTTTCAACATCTTTGGTGTCTTTTTCTTGACTGTCAAGTGAAGCTCTCAGGTACAGTCCACAACAGGATGCTCTCTGTTTGACTCATCTGTTGTGTAAGGACAGTACCTCCTAGGAGGAGGCCTGGGAAGACTGTGCCTTCCCACATTCCTGTGTTCCATGCGCAATGCAGTACAATCTTTAAACAAGAAACCACATAGGGCCAGCTTCAGGGAAGGATTTTAGTAGACCTAACTCTTTGAACACTGTCTACCTAAGTAGTTATCAGTAGTGGAAGTTATGTAACAGAGCAGGAGAATGAGCAAGCTCATGTATTTTACAAATACTGTTAATGCAAATTGAAATATACGACAAAACTGTTTAACCTGTAAGTTATTATAATAAAACATATGACCTCTTTTGACTACGAATAGGGCAGATGGCAATGCTAATCCATTCTTAGCTACTTTATCATTTATTCCAACGTTCAGAACAGATTATGGAAACTAAAAATAATAAAAAATAATGAATCATGAATTTTAGTTGCTAACCTGTTTAGAAGAGACCTTGCTTCTCTTCAACATACTAAATTTGATTAATACTAAGTTTCTAGTAAGTTAGACACAAACAGTAATGAGCCACATTGCTTTCTTTAAAGAACAGCCTTAATTTGATTCAATTGAGCAACGCACAGAAACACACTTTCTTGCCAAAGTGGCAAACAAGTTCCTGGGAATCAAAAGTACAGCTCAGTAAAGCCAAATCCTAACAACCTTTCAAATTCAGATGCCAGAGAGTTTTAAAAAATCCCCCAAATATTGCTCTTTTTACAGTGACTGCAATCTTCACTGTTCTATTTGAAAAGCAAGAAAATCACTTACAGTACAGAGCTGCAGTTTACATCTGCAGGGAGAAAACAAGAAAAGCCAAAGATCAACCTGAGTTGACACTGGACAGTGTGGTGTCAAGCAATGAAAAAGGCTTCTTCAAGTCTTTCAATGTCAACAGCAAGAGAAGGTCAAAACATTGGACTGATAACTTGAAGTATATGATCACCTAATAAGTAAGGAGGAGGAAAAAGCAGAGGCATTTAATGCTTTTTTCACCCCAGTATTTAACAGCAACAACAGATCTTGGGCTGCCCTGACCTTGGAGTTGGAGGACCATAACTGGGGGAGCAGTGACTTTCTTTTACAGTGGTCACTGACACTGTAAAGGAACAGTTGTATCTGCTCAATGTTCGTAAGTCCATAGGGCCTCACAGGATTCACCCCAGGGCACTGAAGGCATTAGAGGATGTTAGAGCAGGAATCCTCTCAACCATTTACCTGCTGACTGCAAGCTAGTCAGTGTTATACCCTACAGCTACAGGAAGGGCATAAGAGAAGATGCAGAAAACTACAGACCTGTTGGTCTAACTTCAGTCCATGGAAAACATGGACTTGTTTGTTATGGAGAACATTATCAGGTATGGTCAACATGGGTTCATTAACAGAAAGACCTGCCTTACTAATACGATTTCCTTCCATGGTAAGGTCACCTGCTGGTGGATGAAGGGAAGACAGTGGATTTCCAACAGTAGAGTTCAAAGGGTTGTAATGAGTGGGGCTGCATCAGGCTGGCAGATGGGCACTTGTGGTGTTCCTCAGGGCTCAGCTCTAGGGCTGGTTCTGTTCAGTGTTTGTATCAGTGATTTGGATACAGGGATGGAGTGCATCCTTAGCAAGTTTGCTGATGATACTTAAATGGGAGCTCCTGTTGGCTCACAGCAGGAACAAGAGGTCTTCCAGAGGGATCAATATACACTGGAGCATTGGGCAATCATCAAAGGCATGAAATTTCCCAAGGTTAAACATCAGGTACTGCACCTGGTACAGAGTAATGCTGGACACTGGCACAGTTTTGGAGACCAGTGGATGGAGACCACCCCTGCAGAAAGGAACTTGAGGGTGTTAGTCAACAGCAGGTTCAACACGAGCTGGCTGTGTGCCCTGACAGCCAGGAGAGCAAGCTGCATTGGGGTGTACAGCATGTTTAGAGGTGATCCTCCCTCTATATTTAGCATTGGTGCAGCCTCGCCTTGAATACTGTGTGCAGGTCTGTGCAGGGAGGTGCTGGTCCCTGCTCGTGGTCACTGATAGCAGGGCACAAGGGCATGGCATGGAGCTGCACCAGGGGAGGGCCAGGCTGGGCATTAGAATCACAGAATCACAGAATTTCTAGGTTGGAAGAGACCTCAAGATCATTAGGAAACATTTCTGTGCCGTGAGGGTGGTCAGGCACTGGCACAGGCTTCCTAGCCGGGTGGTTGGTGCCCTGTGCCTCTCAGTGTTCACGAGGCATTTGGACAATGCCCTCACTAACATGCTTTGGCTGTTAAAGAGCCCTGAGGAGGTCAGGAAGTTGGACTACAGGGTCTTTGAGGGGTTCTTCCAACTGAACCTCTCTATTCTATTACTCACATAAGTTAAGCCTTTCTGTAAGTGGGAATGTGGCAATCATTTACAGAAACTGACAACTATAAAACTGATTTTCAAAGCATGTGCAATGGTATTAATTAAATAAATTGTATAGATAGTTGGAATTATTCTTCAGGAAAAATATGTCTATAAATATTTGAAGAGAAAAGGCAGAAAACCCCAGCAAATTATGTATCATTTTCACCTCAAATCCACACCAAGCCTGCTCAGGAAAAACATCCACTTGAACAAATCTAGAAATCCCTCTCTCCATCAGAATCTAATTTATCTGGATGAATCTCTTCAGCAAGAGATTCTACACCTTCTGAACACAGAATATGTATATAATGTTTTAAATGAAATAGCTAGTGAAAGCAAACACTCCAAATCTTCCCATCAGAAAATGCTTTTTTGTGGTGATATCAAAGCACTTGAATGAGACTACTTTCTCACACTGTCATAAATCAACAGTAGCTTCACTAAATTCAACATAGTAAATGAAACAAAAATTTAGTCAGGGTACAATCTTCTTCTGAAATATGTGTTTCAGACTATTTTCAGGCAGATCAGTAGCAAGTTACATGATTTAGCATATATTGCTGTTGAAACCTGAAATGAACAGAGTTATTCATTAACAATTTACAGGACATGCTCCATAAATTAAAGCTCAAAAATATATTGCTTTTGTTACATGTACTAACATCCCTAAAAGGAAGTAAATCTAAATATACACAGTTCCTGCCAATAGGAAGAAAAAGTATTTTACTGGAATTAAGACATGCTTGTATAAGGAGTAAAAATTATGTCTGCTTTACAAGCCTGTTTGGCATTTGTATAAAAAGTCTCTTCAAAGAAAAGGGAATTGGAGCTAGTAATTTAACTCATCTAATAAAAAAAAAAAAAAAGTGGTATAAAAGAGTTGCTTAGTTCCAGCTGACCTTGAAATGTAATTGGCTACCTCAGATGTCTCTATGGTATATGCCATTAAGAAGATAAAAATATACGGGATTAAAATCTGAACCGATAAAGCTAAGAAATTAAGTATTACTCCTTTAATAAGGCTACTTTGTGAAAGTACATGAATACCAAAATATCTCCTTACTGATTTCTATTGAAGTGTGGATAAGTTTCAAAATAAGTTATCAAAAGTACAAATGTCAAATATTTTATTTTTCCCCTTCTTACCACTATATAAATTACAAATGAAGACTTCAAGGTTATTTTTTTTTTTTACTCCAGGATTCTATACTCCACAAGAAATCATTTGTACACCACTGTATTATCCAGATTTTTGTATGTGCTTAGTCCAGATTGAAAGATTATTTCATATCTTAAAATGAAAGCATATTTTTCTATTTTTTATTCAGTGCAGCACCACTTCTTTCTATACTTCAATACTACTGAAGAGATTAAATTGTAAAAGCACCAAGTTTTACACAGTCAGTTTTATAAGCAACAATTACCAGAGATTAGATTATTCCTCTGTACTGTAAAATAAGAGCTACAAAAAAAACAACTTCAAGTCACAAAAAAAGATGAGCCAAGACAAACGACGTGCCACTTAAAACATCACGGCAGAGGCAGAGACCATTCATGCCTATCCTGAATACAGCTATGAATAAAGAGGGATTGTGGTAAACTGTAGCACAAAAAAAGTTTAAAGACATTTTCATAAATTAGGAAAAGAAAAAAGAAAAAAAAAAAAAACACGTAGCATGCACAGCTCTGTCCTGGTTTCAGTTGGCACAGACTTAATTTTCTTCACAGAAGCTCATATGGTGCTATATTTTGGATTTGTGACCAAAACAGCCTTGGTATCACTAATGTTTTGTCTGTTGCTGAGCACTGCTTCCACAAAGACTCCTGCTTCTCACGCTGCCCTATCACTGAGGAGGATGGTGGTTCACAAGAAGCTGGGAGGGGACACAGCCAGGACAGCTGACCCCACCTAAGCAAAGGAAAACCCTGTACCATATGAAGTGTACAGCAACGAAAGCTGGGGAGAAAGATGGAGGGAGGGCACATTTAGAGTTGTATTTGTAAAGTAACCATAACTTATTATGGAGCCCTGCTTTCCCGGAAATGGCTCAGCATCTGCTTGCCAACAGGAAGTTGTGAATGAATTCGTTATTTTGCTTTACATGTGTGCACTGTTTGTTTTTTGTTTGTTTGTTTTTAGCTAACCTGTCTTTATCTCAGCCCGCGAGTTTTCTCATTTTTACTGTTCCACTTCCCTTTTCTGCAGGAGTGTGAGCCAGAGGCTGTGTGAGGCTCAACTGACTACTGGGGTTAAACCACAGAAAGCTCAAAGTAAAAAAAACTGTTTTTATCCCTTGGTAAGTAGTTTGTGTTAGACTGTCACTTGACGTTAGGAGTTACATATTTAGCACAGGTTTGGAACTGGTTTTTGGGTTAACACAGAGACTGTAGAAAAACAACGATAAAAATTAAATGGTGATGATTTAGGAAGTATGCATTATAAGATCAATATGCATGATAAGAGGTCAAAAAATAACAGATCTTGAATCTAGGTTGTCATATTACTACAACAGATTTTGTTTCCTTTTTTTATACAGTGATAAGCCTTTACAACCACAGTGCAATTTTATGCTGACTAGGGTAGCCAACGTCAGGAAAGAATTAAGAGACAATCAATAAACTTTCTAATACCTACACAGAAGTTAGTTACACACTAATTTTAATTGCTACAGTTACTATGGGGCAAGTATGGTAAGTTCATTTAGTTAGTTTAAATTCATCCATGGAAAAAATTGAGAATTACAGGGTAATACATCTAGAAAAACAAAGCAGCGTAACTGTAAGTGGTCAAAGTTGCAGTTTTAAGGCTTATTTTGTCAACTTTTGTAGCCTTTATTCTATCACTACAGCTACATGTATATTGTTACATTGTACTGTATCTTTACAAGCTCTGGTAAGTTATTATCAAGCATTAAACCAAGTTGTTCCAGTAGCCAACAACTGCTGGGGGTTGCAGAAATACGGTGCATTTCTGGACAAGCACTGTCTAAAACATAAAATATCTATCTTTTAATTAATAAAGCCAAAAAGCTGTTAAATCTTATTCAGTAACCAATAATCCATTTAATAGATTTGTTTAAAACTCGATCATATATTTTAAATGCTTACAATTGACTTCGCCTCATCTCTTCCGAACAAATTCAAAGGAAGGATTTGCATATCAAGTTTAATATGGTGGAGTACCATACAGCAATGTATAAAGAGTAGAACCTAATGAAGATTTCATGTAGCACCTGTGTTTTATTCCTTCCCTTCTTTATGATCCTAATATTCATTTTAAAAATTTTAATCAAGTATTTCCCAAATAAGCCTAATGGCTTATACATACTTCAGTTGCATCTGAAACAAACAAACAAACAAACAAACAAAAAAAAAAAAAAAAAAAGCAATAGTATTAAGAAGTAAACTGACTTGAACAGACAAATTTAATAGACTCTTACATTGAAATGAAACACCCCCAGCTAGGGGCCTAGGAGGGGGGCAAACCATAAAAAATAAATGTTAAACTGAAAGTATCATTGCCTTTCCCTTTTAACGAGATGCAGCATTTTAGTAAGTAATACTGCTGATGAAAACCCTTTAATAACTTTAGCAATATCCTTCAGCTTTCTCCACTGTGTACCACTGCAGACTGTAACTCCATGTTGCAACTTATCCTCCTTGACATCCATATTCATTGTTGTATTTTCCAAAATCTTTTTTGACATTTAGGTTCTCTTTCTGCCTCTTGACCTTTCTTACCACTCCTGTCCTAAGTCTTCCTAAGAATCGTAACCGCTTCTATTTCTCTAAATACCAGTGAGGCACTCTCTTCTGCTTTACTATCATTTCACAGAAGAATACTGGGAGGTGGATAGTAGTAGTGGTGAAGAAGAGGAAGAAGCAGCAGAACTTGCTTTAAATAAAAAATAAGCAAAAGCTGCAGAGCTAAACTCACCACACATTACTGGCCTGTCAACACAATGTTTCTTCTGTTTCGTATTAGATATGCACCTTTTCTCAAAGCTCTTAGTCCCTTTCTGCTCCTTGATTTTTTATCAAAGATTCTGATAAGTTCCTTTTCCTCATTACTCATTATGTCAGGGGAAAAATTAAATTCTGATGAAAAAAAGAACCTCTTTCTCTACTGTCATCTACCACATTCCAAACTGGCAAATGTGTTCTTTGCACTAAGATTACAGTCAGGAAACAACTAATCAAGGTTTTAAAATATTATAAGGACCTTTAACCCCCAAAAAATGAAAAAAAGTATCCTTGTATTTCTTCATTCATTTTTTCTTCAGCCTGCTAACACCTCATGACAGCTATAACTGCTGTCTCTTAAGTATCACGTAAACTTGAAATACTTCAGAGGTTACTGATGTACACTCTCCACTCCCAAAAACAGAAAAGGGAAATTATATTTGAAGTTTCATCTTTAAAGTCTTTTCTGAGTACTATAAAACTCCAATGGCATACATTCATCTCCTCCTAACATTTTATGTGCACAAAACACAAAAGATTTGGTTTATTCACCAAAAGGAAAATTTCTGATGCCTGTTTCATAAGAATAATCATCTTACCTTTACAGTTTCACTTAAGACTTGGTTTTTATCTGCTTCTTCACTGGAGTGCAATTCTAGTTTATTATTTAATTCCTGTAGCTGCTGTGCCTGTTCATTCAAAAGCACTTGTGCCTGATGCTCCCGATGTAATGCATTATTTAATTCTTCACATGCACTTTCAAACCTCTCATGAGTGATCAATTTCTGATAAGGGAAATAAATTGTGTTTGATTGTGTAACCATATTCATTTGTTTACAAGGTTGACTTCCAGAATTCTACTTGCTAGCATATAAAATTCTAAAACAAAAGCATGCTTGTGATGAGTACTTAGGTTTTTGAACATGAAGAGAGATCACTAAACACTAAACGGTAGCCAACATTCACTGTATTTTTTTCTGAAAAATATTCAGGGTACCGTAAACACTATGCATTAATTATTCTATCCAAATTAATATACCCAGGTTGTAAAAAATTAATATTAAGAAGGAAATATGCAGATCAATGTCCTACATTTTAGTGTGCATCTTATTAACCCTTGCAAACACCTGCCTGGAACCTTCTTCCCACACCCACTACAGTCCAGAGGAACAAATAACTCCTTGTGAAAAATCATTTACATCTGAATGACAAACTAAAAGGTGACAATTTCATGTAGCTCTCCCAGAACTGTAAGGAGACAAAACCCATTAAAAATGAAACCGAAGATGATTAGATAGCTTTGCTAAGTTAAATAATAATAATAATAATAATAATAATAATAATAATAATAATAATAATAATAATTTAAACCTTGGAACAGAAAGGAGAATGGATGTGAAATCATCTATTAAATATTCTCATTGGAAGTGTTCTGACTGGGTCATACTGACAGATCTACCAGCTATGCTTCAGGATCAACTTTGGGCACTGTTATAGATAAGAGTTCCCACCCATTTACTTTCTCATATTGCTCAAACATGAATTCAATTTTTAATGTAACCTACAGAAGATAAGCATAGGAAGAAACATGTCCAGTCAATCTCCAGTATGCAAAAGCAGGACAGATTTCTTCCCTCCAATAAGGGCCAAAGGCACAGATGCATCAGGATGATGGAGAACATACCAGCAACAGACCAAATGGAGTACTGGGGACAGAGAACTCACATTGCAGGGCAGTAATGACCTGAGAAGGATAGATCCCTCACACACCTGGTTTAAAGTTGTTAAGGAACCTTTTTCTTGTTTCTTCTCATTCCTGCCAGACAGTGCTATGTACAGGTTAGTGGACCCATAGTGCTCAGTTAACTCATCTAGCTACTGCAAAGGTTCAGAGGAATTTGATGCATAAGTGCTATTTAGAGTGCAGCAAGGATTTTGTTTTGTTTTTGTTTTTTTTTTTTTTTTCTTTCCCATAAACTCACTCCTTCAAGGAAACAGACAAACTAAAATTTGCACTGACTAGCTCACAATACTACTCCATACTCAAAGGCAGAGTAAAAAATATATCATAATGTTGAACAGTATCAGTATAGAATTTAAAATATTACATTTATACTTTATGAGCTTGTCATGAACATTCATATTAAATACTCTTAAGTTTACTGTTTTGACATGATAACTATTAATCATTTTAGAGCATAAAAATCACACCAACATTTTCAACACATGGAAGAAAACCGGAGCTGCTGAAACCCAAATGTGTAATTTACAAAGAGTATCTCATTCTGCAAACCAAAGAGAAACTTGTATGGGAAGAATTCTAAATACATCCGGGTTGAAGTTTAGTGACATTTATGCACCAATTTTTCTGGAAAATTTCTGGAAAATAGCATATTGGCTTTGTAGATTTACTTGTTTTTCAAAAGAACACAAAACAAAAAATGTGCAAAAAGAAGGTCTCTCTTGTAAGCAGTCTTACCTAAATCAAATGTACTTACAGATTGCTTAAACATGTTTAATTGCTCTTGCAGGCTCTGAGCTTTGTCAGCCTCTTTTTTCATCTCACTGAAATTCCCTTTGAATTCTACAAGTTCTAGGCGCAATGAGCGTCGTTCCACTTCTGCCTTATGAAGTCTTTGTGTAAACTCAAATATTTGCTTCTGCAAGGATGCTATGCTTTTCTGTTAGTAAACAGAAACAATATTACACACTTTAAAAATGTGCCATTTTATATCCGTATGGAGAAATCACAGAATCATAGAATATCCCAAGTTGGAAGGGACCCATAAGGATCATTCGAGTCCAATTCCTGGCACCACACAGGTCTACCCAAAATTTTAGACCATGTGACTAAGTGCACAGTCCAAACGCTTCTTAATGTGATTTTAAAAAATTAGTTATATTGAGTACCCAAGCAAAACTGTCATCTTGTCCTCGATCTCTAGAAGATGCACACAAGTGCTAAAACATGAACCCATTTCACCTTCTTTTGAGGGTTATTGCAAATTTTGTTTTCAGAAAGTATCTGCTTTCATGTAAGACCCACAGAGGAAGACAGGCTCTATGAGAGAATCATATCCTTTAATTTTCGTTAAAGGGGAGAAAATTATCTTTTCCTACTGAAAGGCAACCCAAACAAATTTAAAACAAACAAAACAAACAAACAAAAAACATTGTACAAGTGAGAAATAGGTTTCTTTTTCTAAAGTATATATAATTTTGATAGAACTTCCCCTCCTCCCCCTTTTTATTTGCATATATCAATTTTTAGACGACAAAAGAAAACATCCAGTCAGTGCATAATGCTTTGGGGTATTTCACGTCAAGTTCTGATCCCCTATGAAGCTGACTTCAACTGAGTCATAAAAAATCTGAAACAAAAGTAATGGTGCTATGAAGAGAGTTTCACTGTAACACTTTTACTGTGAACCTAGGGTTTACATGAAGTAGCACATGCATACCATAATGGGTAGTCTGTCACAAAATCCAGCTTCCACAGCCTGGGCGTTTATTTTATGAAGTCCACGAGCCAGCCTCTGCACCAAGGAGTCCTTCTCCGTATAGGAAATGCTCATGCTGCTGTCTAATGGAATAGTCTCCATTATTACATTAAGCTTGTCCATAAGTTTTGAAAAGGAGTTCCTGGCTGCACTTACAAGTAAGTGTCCAGAAAGCCAGGAATTTGGATCTTCAAGACACAAAAACAACAACAAAACATTATGTAGATCATTAGTGGTTTTTGTTTTTTTAAGAGAGAGAAAAAAATAAATAAATAAATAAATAAATAAATAGCACCTATAAAATACTCAGTAGGAAATTTCCATTAGAGAATGGAGATTGAGGTCAAGGGAATTTCTCAGAGAAAATCTGGGACAAATTCTGTATTGAGCATTGAACATTCTACTCCTATCAATCTGTGGATAGGCAGGGTAAGATAGGATAAGATTCTGGAGAATAGGATTTGTTTTTCAAAGAATATTTGTTCATGTTCACCTCCAACAGTATACATTCTTAAGTCTTTCTTGGATGTTCTATTTTTGTAATTTATGAAACATATAAGACAAATGCAAGCAAAATGCCAGACAGGTCGAATGTGTCAGATGTGAGAACACATGGTAAAACACTTTATCGCGGTATTTACATGTACAATGCAAATTTCTGAGCTTTTTCTGATTCCTCTTCCCTCCCCTCCATAGATGTCTAAATCATTTGCTGTTCAAAATTAGTGAGGCTTGGTACCTTAATGCCATACTATTTATATTCTGAGACAAGAGAATATAATTTACCTTATTCCAAGGCAATTAAAATTTTACAGCTACAATTACTTATTTCCCCACAGGATTTTGGTAATCATCCTTCTCATATAATGGACTTAAGGCCCCAGCACACCCAACATGTCCTGCTTACTGCTAGATTCGTCAGGTCTGTAATTAATAATTGTGTTTAATGTTGATAAATAAAATTGTCAGTGCTCCTTCCACTAATTGGTATTCCAGATAAGAGTTAATAGGTTTATTTATGCCTTAATAAAAGTCTTGTAATTTAGTTTTCCCTCTGCTAGGCAGGTCTTAATCTGTCATTACTTGTCTTATGATACTATCAGTGTAAGATGACAAGCATGGAAGAGCTTATTTACATTCAGTAGTACAGATCTCCTGTTGCTGTAGTGAATTAAAATATTTACTTATAAGTATAAACAGAGAAAATAACAATGATAGCTTCTTTTTTTTTTAAAGTAAAATACTTTTTTATATATTGCAAGGATAAAGCCAAAGGTTGTAAGTAAACAAAAGATTATTTTTATCAGATTTCCACTCTCAAAATAAAGAGTTTATCATTTACATTAGATCAAATTTATCTATAAGCAAACAAAATAGCACCTGATAAAGTCAGCACTCTATTCCTGATCACATCCAAGATAAACTACTTTCATCATTTTAACTCTTAAAAAGTTTATTCTTGTCCTACCTTTCAGTTTCAAAGGCCATCTCTTTTCTCCAAAAATAATGACATCACTTTGAATGTTTAATTAACATAAAACTAGACTGTGTGCACTGCCTTCCATGTAAGATGACATTGAAAATATTTTAAAAACCTCTCCTTTCTAGTGATTACTGGTAAATATCAAAAAGAGAAAAGGGAAAGGAGAAAAAACACCTGTCAATGACCTTTTTCTTCCTTTTCCCTAGTTTTTCCATCTACATCTCATTTTATATGAGACAGTTTGCCTGTCAGAAGAAGTAGTATTTCTTCATGTGTTCATTACCAAGGATGGCACACTGTTCCTTACTGCTATAATACCCCCAGTTTAACCATATGAAAAGTAATTTAATAATAGTTTGGGGAATTGTACTGTAACACTGTATTTCACAACCAGTATTCCAGCTGAGGGCCCAATAACTAAAGACACTTTCCTGGGATGGAAAAGAAAAAAAAAAAAAAGCCTCATCTCTGTTTAATTTTCAATGAAGAGTGATTTAGAGTAACCATGAAGAAATATGTCGATGCAAGTTACTGTTTTGAAAGACAAAATAAGAATATAATGCAATTCCACACGGAACTGGATCTATAATCATTGGGAAGAAAATAAAGGATTTAACCATAATCATTTTACATACATGCCCTCAAAGGATCAAGGATACAATAAAAGCATTCAGTTTTGGATATTATAATGTGTGTAACACAGGATTAACACTAGTGCAGGTAAAAGAGAATTTAATTCTTACATTAAGCAAATTTAGAAAAAAAAATCTTCATTTACTGACAGGTGAAGAAAATTCTCCTTTTATTTGTTTTGGTGAAACAGAACTGGCAGAAAGATGAACTCAGTAGTACTACACTAGACTAAAACATTCATGCTTCAAAACCTTTGTGTATGTTACAGTTCATGATATTTGTATTCAAACAACTGGATTTGCATTTTTTCTGATTTACTGCAGTACAGATTCTGTTCAAACAAACCTACAAACACAACCTTACAAAAAAAAAAAAAAAAAAAAACTACAAAAAATAACAAACTTTTATTCAAATTGAAGCTAAGAGACCATTCCAAAACATGCTAGAATGAGAACCAAACTAACACACAGTGTGAAGGGAAATGATCATGATTGTTAAATCAAAATCACTTTTTAAAACTAAAATGTCAAGAAATGAGCCTTAAAACAACAGAGTGCACAAGTCCAGAAGTTCCAGTTCTGAGTGATACAGATTCAGTTTCTTTGGTTTCTCCCTCAGATATGGCCATCTTTAAAACTCCTTTCAAGACACCGAGCCACTCCATGCTGCAGATCCACACAGCACTTTCTTGTGCCTACTGTCTCCTGTTACATGCAGTCTCATCTAGAACTGCTGTAATTTCACGACATGAAGAGAGAAGATGCCTCTCAGATTGCCTATTTACATTAAATAATTTTTTAATTTTTTTTTTTTTAAATTAAAAACTGACTTAAGTCAGTTTGCAGGTTTAAATCTTACTTGAAATATGACTTACAAAACATAAAAGGGCTTCCCAAGTATGCAAGCCTTTCTTTCAAATATATTCACAGCCTTATCACTTTGGTACTTCAGGAAGTTTAATTTCCACCTTTAAATTAGTATTTTTTTGAGCCAAAGGTTATTTGGAGACTTTTAATCTCATGAGCAACAGAATCCCAAGTAATACATGTGCAGTAAGATCTTGAGGTTCTGTAAAAATACGACTTAAATACAGATGACCTATAAAAAAAAAATCACCAAACTGACTATGATTATCACATTCTCAGCATGGTTCTTGCTAACTCTAAACATCAAAACTGCTATGTACAGAGCAGTTTTCAACAGAATTCTTATCTACTTCAACATAAACGAAATATTATGATGTTTAGGGTATTCTAACTAGACACTTCAGCATGTTGATGCTGCTGTAGAGTTTATCTTTGATTCCCATTCAATTTGCTTCTCTTATTCAGTACTCTATACACAGGAACATTTGCAGTATATACTGCAAGTCCATGCATGTCCTGAAACACAGTACAAACTTTGTTTCATATGGATGCAAATTTAAATTGCTGAAAACTGAGCCAAGAGGGCACCTGAAACTCAAAGAAAACACTTTTGATTTAATGGCTAACCTCTGGTCTCAGTTCACTGTTTGTGGTCTGTAAGCTGTATCACCGTCTTTCCATCCTGCTACTTCCCTTTACTCTTATAAATTATCCTTCGTTTCTTTTAATACCCTTTATTCGATGACAGAATACAGATGGCAGAATTCTTAGAACTTGGAAATTACAATGAACAACTAAGGATAACAGCAACATAGAAGGAACAAGTGAGATCTTGTATCAATCCTCATTGCAAAGAAATTAAAGAAGACAGTTAATAGCTGGGAATCAAGAGATGACATATCCAGGAACTAGCATTAAAATTTTCTACAGTCATATATAACATAACACATATATAATACTTATGTGAGGAGAGACTGACAAAATTAGGTAATCTAGACAGAAGGCTCATTAAGGATCTACTTAAAGAGGGAACACAACAGGTACATAAAATTAAGATTGCTACAGTGTGTCCTAATTGAGAGCATTTTCTTTCTCTGTCAGAAACCACAAGATAGCAACTAAAATAGATGAAAAACTCAGTTGTTTTCCAGATGCCTGTAATTCTGGAAATTATAGGTCTATATCTGGAATTCTAGATTCGTATCATATAAAAGGCAGAAATTACATTCAGTCAGTCAGCAGCAGTAAAATCCCAGGTTAAATGCATCAGCTTTAGGGCCTTACTTAAGACAGTAATAGACTTTATTAAAAAAAAATAGTTTGATCTTCAGTAAAATATTTTGTAACAGTGGAACAAGATAACTAGGAATTTTTAAATCTTATGTCATTGGACGCTTTTAAGAACAAGTTAATCTTTTATCTATTGGCATGGTATAGAAATGGTTTTTCTAACTCACAACAAAGCAGTTCAGACGATTTCTAGAAACATTCCTGAACCTTCTATTTCCATGACTCCATGTACTGAAATGATAGACGTATCATATTGCAATTAAAGAAAATTGATATGTTCTACGAAGGCAGTTCTCCAAGAATTTGATACAGAATAGTATCAAATAGCATAAAAATAGCAATCATGTAAATATTGAAGTTTATAACTTTTTTTTTCTTCTACTACAATAACGTATTTCTAAGTTTACCTGTTTTGTTAACAACATCCTGTAATTCTGTGACAGAACTGATTATTGCAGCATGGAGCTTAGAACTAGTAAACCAGCTGAGTGCTTCAACGCAATCAATTTGTTCCTCTTTGTGTCCTGTGAAACAAAATTGGAACTAGCAATAAAACCAGGTGACACAAGTAAGGCACAATACTATCTTCAGCTCTTTCAGAAAATGACCAAAGTACATAACCTACAAAACAATTCTTTCAGAACATTTTAGACTATATTAAGTACTCTTCAACAACTACTGAAACAGAAAAGTAAATGGATCTTTGTCTTTGTGAAACATTTTTGAAGCAATCTTGTAAAAGAAAGGAACAGAAAGACTAAATAATTCTTAGAAGAAAAATTTAGAAATCTTATACTAATATTTTATCTAAATTAAAATGAAATCTTTTTGCATTTTTAGTATAAAAATAATTAAAGTGATTAATAAAAAAAGGGGAATCATCTTTTTAGAAAAAGATATGACACAAAAGATATGTTGGCATTTAATTAATTCTAAAACAGGTTAACACAAATGTCGGAGATATGAAATAGTATGAGTTCACATGTGAAGCACTGAAAGAAAAGCTACAGCTAAACATAGTAAGTAGTTCCTTTTAGTGGAAATCACATTTGTCAAGAAATGTAGAAACCTCAAATCCAGAAATGACATTTGTCATGTCACATCAGTCTTTTCACTTTATTATTAACATTATTATCTGCTATTCGCTAACCATTTAATTTGACATAAGACTTATAAAACAAGAAAACAATTAGCTTACTTGACAGATTATGCTTGCCTTTGGAGTCCCCTACACAAACTAGAATTCCAATGCCTTCTTTGAAGCCATTTACCCAGGAGAAGAGAGAACTAGAAGACTGAGCTAAAACTTTAAGCCTGTTGGCTGCCAGAACTGCAATCACACCTCTTCGGAACACACGTATCAGGCCTTTGAATTTTCTTTTCTTCATTTTAGATTCTTGCTTCTTTTCCTCCACACCAGAGAGAGCATGAACTAGAGTCCTAATCTCCTGGTTAACTGACTCATAGATGTTGACCTGATCCTGCAGAAGATGTCTTTGTGTAGACAGAGCACATGATCGGCCATAGAGAGGATACAGGGCACCTGCCAATAGTGCACATGCTGCCAGGAGAGATGAATGTTCCTTCTGAATCTGTGTTAATGTATTTTTCACACAAATATTTTCAAGGGCCAACTTCTCCCATCTTTTTTCAAGGTCATAGATTGTTTCCTTGTTTTTCTCTGCTGTTTCTTGGTATTCCTGGGATAATAGGGGCAGGGGGAGAAGAAACATTAGCTGAAAATTATTATTTAAATTTAAAAAAAATCAAAATCATTTTACCTAAATTAGTTGGTTTTCGTCTTCTTCTTCTTTTTTTTTTTTTTATGGAATTATAACAAATTGAAGGAACAAAAATTATCAGTCATGATTGTCAAAGCATGTCTCCTAGAAAAAAGTTACAGTACCAGATACATGCAAAAACTAACCAATAACATGCCAAAAATTTGCACAATCTTCAACTACAAACTCTAGATTTCTGAAGCTAATCCACTTCTGCAACAATACACAGAGGTTTCAACAGTACCTGGCTATCCACAATACATTTTCATGAGTTCACTTAATAATAAGCAATTACATGCTCTAATTTCAGAAAAAAAAATATTTTTCTTCAAAGCAGAAAAGAAATTTAGTGTAAGAGATAGGAAAAAAAAATAAGGAAAACTCTGGAAGATAAAACTAGACAGATTGGCAGCAGCTGGGAAAGGGGAATTAAAGGTGATCTCTTAATTACTTTGTAATCAACCCCCTACTTATATATTCACAGATTAATTAGGTCTCATACAGAACAGAGTTTTGAAAAAAATGGTGTAATACATATATTTTTATGTTGACTGCAGCCATCACAGATTTTTTCAACTTGCAGAACTGTTGGTGTTTTTTTTTTTCTCCCTTCTCTAAGCCCTAAAATAGGGAAAGAGGGAGGTTTGAAACAGTAAACCCAAACAGCTAAATGAAGACTCCAAAAAGCTAGGGAATACGAGGACCATGCAGATTAGGTGCTATTGATGACGGGCGTGTTCTTATATATATTCAAGACAATATGCCATTGCCTCAGATGCTTAGACTAGCTCCCTGATACATCAGGGTCCTCTGTGACTGAGCCACTCAAAGCTATGTTTACCAGGATTCAGTGGAGGTAATAATTTTTAGACACTTCACAAAAAAAACAGAAGCTCAAGTTAAACTTTTATGCCCCTGTTACAATAAATAAACACATAAAGGTAGAACAAGTGTAATGCTAAGTAATATGACAAATTAAAGAGAGGATTATTATCAAGTCTCAGCTGCCTCTCTTATAGCTCTAAGCAGTTTTGTCAGAAATGGAGCAGAGGTTATTCCTGTTAGCAGTGGACAAGAGAGAAATGAAGTGACATTTACCAGTCACATTCCCATGTATCAACTTTGGTACTGGTCTTAAGAAAATGGGGATGGGGGCATCCTAATTCCTTCCTCCTTCACACAATAAACACAAAAAGGGGAAAAATACATAAACTATCCCTAAGAAGGAAATAAAAAGATTCTGCAGTTCTGTAAAAAGGTAACCTATGTCAGTTCAGAATGTCTTTGACCAAATAAATATTTAATTATTTTTGGAAAGAAAGCATTTTAACTGGACTAGGAAGACAAACAGAGTAACAGCTCTCTCATGACCAAACTTACACATATTGCTCTTTAAGACAAAGAAATAAAATACCAACAGGTAGACTTTACAGATGGTTTGACAATATTGATGTTGAAAGAAAAACATACTACAGTGTTTTGCATACAACCAGGTTATGTGTGTTATTAAAATATTTCCAGTGATAAAGAAATATAGTAGGTAACTAAAATACTTAATTGTAAAACGAAACTTACAGGCCTCATATGTCACTTAACTGCTCTAAAATTAAGTATGCACAAGTACAAATACTTTCAGAGCTACTGCATTATTTAGAATGCTTCATTTTAACAGAAAATAAAAAAAAAGAAGAAGAAGAAAAACTGATAGCATGACTGGAAGGAACTGAAAAGGTAAGCTGAATTTAGAAAACAACTTATGGTTTCTGGCCATTACAGGTGAAAGGCCAATATCTGAGTAAACAAACAAAGCGTGATCCCTACAGGGTTGTTGGGCAACAATACTAACATCCAGTATTCTGGCTAATTAAAGTTTATAAAAAAATAAAAAATTAAAAAAAAAAAAAAATGTAGTGTTTAAATGTTTCAGGTTATATGGGAATATGCAGAAATGAACAAGACAGTGACTACAGAAATTAAAAAATAAATTGTAAGGAAATGTACCCTCTTATTTTTAGGGACTGATAATTACTTCTGTATTTCTCTTCATCATTTCTAATGTTTTCTTCAAAGCTTAAAAGCACAATTTTGAAAGGGAGAGAATTCTCCTCCTAAATGTTGGTAGTTTGACTTCTTTGGGTGCTTGAGTTTTGAGAGATTCCTCACTGGGCTACAGAACTTGGTAGATTATGACACTCATTGACAAAAGAACGGATGTTACTAGTAACACAGTTTTATCCTACTTCTTTCACTTTATTTTGGCAAGAAAACAGAACTAGAAGCTAGAAATATCATGATGCTAACTTCAAAAGGTTTTCCTGTATTTCAGTTGGTTTCTTTTTTGTGTAAAACACCAATTTTTGATACAATTACAATATAACCACAGTCGTTAAGTAGTTCACTCACCTTGAAGTAAAAGCAAAGATTCTTTACAAAAAAAAGCAAGCAAAAGAAAAGCCATTTTTCTCCCTCAGGGATTTTTTTTTTCCATTTTCTATTTAGTAAACCTTTTATTTTTCTGTTGAAAATAATAATTTAAAAGTGGTTACAGGAATTTTCTCTCACATGTATTTGCCAGAACAAAACGCTACTATATAAGTGGTTGCCACAAAAATAGGGACAGATTAATAAATGTCTACATAATAAACAAACAACAACTCATAGTTAAGGTTCAGAGGACTTTTGCTATGAGACTGTGTACAGACTAAATAAATAATTTGTGTAAGGCTAAGGAATAGGCACTGTAACAAAATGGTACATCATAAAATAAAGGGGACTATGCTTCTTCTGCTACAAAAGGCAAGGAAAAAGGATATTCATTTTAAGGCTATATATAGAAACTAGGAACAAAGAGCGGTATCTGTAGAGAGGCTTGTTTACTGTTGGCCTGCAATAAGGCCACTGTGGGAATTTCTGCCCCATAGAAAAACTGCTTTCCAGTTAACATTGTCCACCTGATCAACAGTAACAGCTGTGAAGTAGAATCTGTTAATATCCATAGATCCCATCTTGGAGACCGGGACCCTGAACAGACAGGGACAGAAGCAGTGGCAGTTGTCATTGCTACTAAAACCTCCACATTGCAATGTCACATTTAACAACTAGGAAGCCATTCAGAAAAGCCCTGTTTCTCCAATTCACTTCTAAGAAACAAAAATAACAATCTCCACAATCCATTACTCATATTGCTGTGCAGGTAGAGCTCTAAGTTAACGGGATAAAGTCATCGGCATAGATCTAAGACATGCCTGAACTGAAAGCCTTCTCTTTGCCTTCACATATGTTTCCTGTGGAAACAAGGCTACAGCATTAGTGTGTCTGCATAGCCCTGATCCATCACAGCAGTGAGCTTGCAGATTAATATGGCCAACAGACCCAAAATGCATGATGGAAAAATCAGTCTAGTCTTACAAGAAACAAGCAGTCAGGATTAGAACAGCCCTAAGAGCAGACGTCCATGGAGCTTATGGACCTCAGAAAGGTAAAAGCTTAATCTGGTATTTGTAGGTTCAACATCCGTCATAAGGTAGAAATCCAGAGGAAATGAGACTGTCTTCTTCCAAGACTGACACTAAATGCTAAGGCAGACAAGCTGGAACGTGAGAAAGAACAAAGATAAGACCAGATTTTGTTGAATGAACTCCTGTTTGAAGTTCAAAGTGTATACAGATGCTGCACCACCTAGTTTCTACCACTATCAGCTTGTAATCCTACATAACTTGTTTCAGAAAACATGCCCAGATATTTCTAAGGGAAAGCACTTCCATTTTAGAAAACTTGTAGTCTTTTACAGCACATTGATGTAAAAAGTCTTTTCCAGAAGACATGCCTGATGCACAGGCTGCAAAAGAGAGTGGTATTTTCAGTGCATGCGCGTGCCAGCTACAGTTGAGAAGAATGACATACTCAGCACTGTCCCAAAGCATGGTACAGTACTACACAGAATAAATTCTCCACAACACATTACGGTCTGAAAGAGATTATGCAGACCTTTGTTTCACACGGTATCCATAGCAGATAGAAATCTAAACTGCATAACCCCACTACTTCTTTTTAAAAGGTCATTTTCAAAATTAATCTTCCTTATTTCATCATTCTTTTTGTTGATAATGATCTCATAACATGAAAGTACAGCATGCTGGAGGAAGTCACTATGAGTCTGGATGCCCCTTACAGGCACTCATGGGGATATTTTTAGCATTGTCAATATCCAATGGGAAATGTAAATCTTGAGCAGAAAACGTTTAAGATTTTAGCCCATTTCCAAAAAAATCACAATAAACTGCTTTGCCTAAAGAATACTTCATAAATATGATTGTCAGAGAGCAGACTTCAAAGCTTAAAATCCGAGACAAAAGCAGTCTTCATCTGACAAAGCATGTTTCAGATGGTAGTCACAAATAGCAAGTCATACGTTATTTCTTGTATTTCACAACAATTTTAATTGAAACATTTCTAAAGAGATGTGATTGTAAAGACTATGAATTGCAGTTGTAGAGTAACAGTAAAAATTTTAGATGGTAAATAACTTTACTAACAATGACTGATGACAGCTTTACACTTTTGAACCATTGCTCACCAAAGTATTTGTATAAAAAGTACTTTAACACTGCTGAAATCTACCACTGTAACTGCTAATTAGTTCTCAGGGTCAGAACAAATACACCTAAATTCATCCCCAGATGACACCAAACTGCTGTTATTCTACAAAGTCTTTGCAAAGCATGACACTAAAAACTAACTGCTGAACTACATAATTCCTAAACAAGCAATTTCAATCTTAAAGCTTTAGCATTCTCAAAATATAATATATATATATTAGCAACTGCTGGACAACATTAAGCACTTAATTTCTGGAACATTTTAACAAGCAGTCACTTGTTTCCTATCCTAAGTGAATTCAATACTAGCACAGTTGTTTTAGTAGTGGTGATTTTTAAAATTTTATTTTAACGATATACTAAAGGTCCCTTCCAACGTCAACCACTCCGTGATTCTGTGTAAAATTCCCAAACAACCTGAAATTGGTTAGGAGCTCAAACTACTGAAATAGTCCGTTAAATATTTACAAGGAAAAGAAATTCAGAAGTTCACAGCACCATACCTGTGCCCTTGCATGAACTTCCCCAAGGAGACCTGAGTACTGCTGCTCCAGATACTTTTTTTGTTTCTGCCAACAGCTTTCCTGTGCTTTCATCTGTTTGGCCATTTTGCTAAAAGCTTCTTCCTGGCTTTGCTGAAGCTCCTTCATAGTATCGTACTTGTTCTTATAAACATATTCTAGGTGAGATATCTGCGTGACAAGCATTTAAAAAGAAATTCTTTTATCTCTTGATACACTTTTGGATTTTAACTGTACATATTAATTTAATTACAGAGTCTTCCCCAGCATAAAATCTAAATTTTAACTTCTTCAACTTATTTATTAAAAATAAAAAGCCTTTCATTACAAATGGTTTTCTTCAATCTTGCAAGGCATATGTTGGAATAATGGCTTTTCTCTATTTTCAGTTTGTTCATCCCTATACCCCCTTGAATATAACTGTTGCCTTCTGAAACTTAACTAGACATCCCTTACTCATTTTGAAAGAAGCGCATTACATCTTACACTGCTAAATTAGTAATCCAAGTATACCAGTCCTCTAGCAGTCTGCAAGGACTTAGGGTAATAATGAAAAAACAGTCCTTAATTTTACTTTTTGTTTGATTGGAAAGCCAAGACATTCCATATATTATTGAGTATGAAAACAATTGCAAGAAGCTTTAGTGTACAGGATGTTTTTCTCAAAAGAAGCTCATCAGTTTATAACGTGATTTCAGTGAAGATGAATGAAGTGATTCACTCTGTGATTTAACTTTGCAGCTCCTATGCAAACCAAATGGAATAATGAATCAAGCTAGCAACAATCTCTAATACACGTATATGCACTTTGTTGTGAAAGAGTATCAGCAATATACCTTCCAAATATATCACATCAAACTGCAGGAGAAAAACTTTTTTCTTAAGAAGTGGGTACACCACAGGTAACAACACTGCCCAAATCCATGAAACACTGGTAAGTACATGAGAAGAGCCCTACAGACCTCACAATCAATCTCAATAACCATACTAAATTAAACCATACAAAAGAGTTAGGCGCACATAAACCCAAAAACACTGCCAACAATGTTCATTCCCATCTCCTCCCTTACATTCTCCTTCTTCCTCTACATTTAATCAAAAATAGAAATGTTGTCTTTCTGTATAATCCAGAATTTATTCTAATATATCCCTCTTTAGTAATTTTGATGGACTGATGAGGTTTTTTTACTAAATGATGGAAGGAATCAAAATGATTCAGTGTAACTAGCCCTGTCCCTTACACAAGCTAGAAAAGTGGTTACAATTCCAGCAGATGAGAAAGTTCTGAAAGAGCTTTTCTCTTCCTGTGCTCAGTAACAAAATGTCAGGGCAGCCAAGATCTGGAATCATTCTAGTAGACCATGTCAGCACAGGAGTGACCTGATCAATGGAGTCAGAACATGAACTGAATGAAATTAAAGGGTGGTATATGTTAGTCAGTGGAACCAGTCTCAGTCTCTTCTTCCTAAAAAGTAGGGATTTCTGGGAAGAAGGGCCATGCAAGCTTATTAACATTACGATCACTCAGAAAAGTACAGTTTCTCCCTAGAACAAATATTAACATACGTTGACATGATTTATAAAAATAACTATTTTCTATCGTATTTCTGAATACAAATATGGTAATCAAGAAATCATAATTAAACAAAAAATACATTGGCATTTTTTTCAAATAGTGTATCTGAATCTTAAACCCATAATTTAAAGATGATGTTCCTGAAGCAAGTGCATTTTGTTTCTGTTTTATGCTAAAATAAAGACTTGCTTTATTAGTGTAAATGACTAAGTTCTTTGAATTGCTTCATCAGTAAGATTAATTTATTTTCTTTTAATTAGGTCCCTGTGGCTAATATTGGCTAGTACTATTAGCATGTCCTGCACAGAAAGCGGAGCTTAGAGACTTCATACAGACTTCAGTCACATTTACATGCCCACAGCAATGGCATCAAACTGAGTTGTAGACAAGCCATAATTAATGGTATTGAATTATTAACGTCCAAATTCTTTTTGAAATAAGATGAATGTCAGTCCTTTTTAATGATACTGTGATGTGGACAAATGTCACTGAATTTAATAGAGGTAGCTGGTGCCTAAGGACACTTACCTTCTCATTAGCCCTGTTGAGGTCTAAGATCAGGGCATCAACATTCTCCTGCAAGACTGCACAAAGCTCAGACCAAGAGAATCTATCTAGGATGCCTTCTGGTTGTTTTATAAGCACACAGCCAGCTACCAACCGCTGGTACAAGCCATGGAGGAAGGTTAGCTTCTCCTGAGACAAAAGAAAATGTAACTGTTATATATGAACAGTGTTAGAATCTAAAGAGGTACATCACACTTGCAGTAATATGAGCTGCACACAACTGGGAGGAAAAAAAAACTCACCAAGCTCACTGCTAATATTTGTGGTCAAATATATTAAAGCCAGAGTAAGAATACAATTTTTACAAAACTTGTCTGGCTATACACAGCATACAAATACATAAAATTTGATCTTGCAGTGCTCATGACCAGTACCTAATACAGATGCAATTTTCAGTGCTATTAGTAAATACAATTTAATTATTCATGTTAACACTTCCAGGTACATTGAAACCGTACCCACCCCAGTATCTGCACAGCATACAGAAAAGAGCCTGACTGGCTTTGCAGCACAAACCACTGTTCAAACAACTGACACTTTAAATTCCTTCAAAAATTTCTTCAGCATGGAATATGTATAACCAAATAGCTAGACAAAACAGGCTTATGGCTTCATCAGCTAAATTTCATGAACCGCATCTCATTCATTTACAGTGACTTTAGGCAGTGGTATAATAAATTGATGTAAATTGTACATAATCTTTAGCAACAATTGCATGCAAAGGAAATTCCAGACTTCATCATTCTAGTACAGATATGCAACTTAGTAGCTTTCATTAAGAAAACAACAGAAAGCTGTACCTCAATAACCGCCAGAAACGGAGCCTTTATTCAAAGTCAATAAACCAGTGGAAAGGTTCCCACTGTTTGCCAGGGGCCCCAGTGAAGCTTTAAATCAAGAAATTGTGGATGACTAAGTTGAGGAACTATGGTCTTCCTGAGACCTTTCCATTGCACTTAGGTGCGTTTTCTCACAATTATTTAATGGTATTTTAACTTAAAAAAAAAAAAAAAAAAAAGTAGTTCAGTTTGTTTTTACTTCATTTTTGGCAGATCTTCTATTTCCCCAAGGAAAATGCAGTGTGCCACCATCATAGCATTTTTGCTTGAGCTGTGATAAACCGAGGATGATAATTATCCATTTGGCATGAAAATAAGGGATCCCAAGACCCCAAATCAATTCACACATGTTGAATGCAACCACAGTGCTGTAGACATGCTGACTTTACAATATAACCAGGCTTCTAGTTTCCTTCACTTTAATCATTATCTGATGTGTGTATAACAATTCCAGCTGCTTCATGTGGACACTATTTAAATACCAGACTGCTAGGGAGGTGGAAAGAATGTTCCCTTTTTACTCAGTTGGCATCCAAATTTAAATTTGTGGAAGTAATGAGCTCAATATGCACAACAACAATGATAAAGAAAATCATTGCTATTGCTAATACAGAACTACTTTACTGGGGGGAAATAATAAAGCAACAAAATTAACATCTGTAAACAAATACAAGGAGAGAGAGAGAGAACAGTTCTGAGATAAGATTTTTTTTAAGCAATTCCCACTTGTAGCACACCACAATGAGCTAAAAGGTCACAAATAAGAATTTTTTAGTTTTTTTTGTCAGGCATGCAAAATTACCTCAATTCCACATTTGCTATCTATCAATTGCTATGTGAATCTGTAATTAACAACATGTGAAGATGATACTGTTGTAGGTTCCAACCGTAGAACACTCCTGTTAACTTTCAGTTTGAAAGAAAGAAAAAATGTTCATTGAGCGTATCCGTTTAAATAATTTCAGTTGTTCAAACGCTCAAAATACTGGAAGAGTTAAGATATTAGTTCCAACACAGACGGAAGCAGAAACAATATATCCTGAGATCTTGTAGATATTAAATACATTTTTAAAAATACATATCTTAAAATCATATTTTGGGGATAAATGTTAAGTCTAAAGGTAACCATCTGATGTATGTAAATGTACAAAGTAGAGATTAAATAAAGACTCTTTTTGACAGTCATCTTGTCTCTGGTAATACCTCCATATCCTTCTGGTAAGCCCTGGTAAGCTTCTGGATTTCATTTTCAGATTCTGTGGCACATACTTTCTCCTTCTCCCAGCACTGCTGTACATTCTGTAGCTCCATTTTTAAAGCTCCTATTAAAATCTCTTTGTCTGCACACTTAGTATGCAGATGATTTAACTCTTTATTGGCATCAGCCAGGTTATCCTGTGCTTCCTGTAGAACAGACACAGAACAGAAAAGTTGGTACCTTACTGCAGACCTCTGCATCTGAGGAAGTAAACATTCACATTGCCACGTGTTCAGAAGACTCCAGGCTAATCTGACTACATCTTGCCAATAATGGATTCTCAAAATTGACAACAGTCCTTTTCTGCATCTTAGAACTAGACAGCATCAGAAATCCATCTCAGAAAGTTAAAAACTCCATGGTACACTGACTTATCTTTTTGAATTCAAAATCCAGGTTATCTCCCCAAATGAGAATTCAGAAGTCATGAATGCAAATTATCCTCCGCAGAGTGAATTGGTCTTTGAGACAGTGAAAGATTTTTTTCATAAGTAAATCTTTGATCCATTACAGCCAGGTTGGTGGACAACAGAGCTACTGTAAACCACTATATTCTTTATCTGCATGGAAAAAAATAATAATTTGAGGACTCCCTTTGGAGGTTTGACCATGAATTGAAATTAATCATCAGAAATGGTCGTAAAGATCATGTTACCAATACCAAATCTCACAAGATAAAGAATTTATTAAACTATCCCTTATAAGACAAAAGATTGCTGACATATACATGCTTACCCTTCCTACAAGTACTGGACTTCCAGAACTGCTAAAGTTTGTTAAAGGTCAAAATAAAAGCATTGTTTCTTTTTCATACAACCATAGCTGCTTATATGGAAAATATAATAGTAAAGATGCTTCCAACTCATTAGACAATGACTTTTCTTCCTCTTAATGAAAATATTACAATATTAAAGCACCAGTAAGTTTCTAACAAATGTTTTCAGGGTGGATCTAGTTTTCAATCATTTATTAAATCTTATCACTCAAGATTTAAAGTGACTGTGTGCATACACAATCACTTAGTATGTACTACATACAAAGCAGCACCATCTGTGTGCAGAAAAAGCATTTTTGCTTGAAGAGTAGACGTATCTGTTGCAATAGGGTCTGCAAATAATAAAGCACCTAAGCTTTAAAAAGACCTTGTAACAGAAGCAGAAACCATAAGTGTCCTGAACATAAACTAGTTAGTAAAGAAAATTCACATCAGATGAAAGGATATGATGTTCAAGTATAAACGAATACGAAGATTTAATGAATGTTGCAGAAATATCTCTGACTAAATTGAAGTGATGAAGCAGTATATCGCCTGCAAAACAATCTGAGAAACATTGGGAGTAGAGACATTCTATTTTGGCAGTAATATAATACACTGCCAGTTGGAACATTTAAGTTTAACCATGACCTCAGGACTTCCTCACTCTCTTGGCCACTGATGTAACCAGACAGGACATTACAAAAGTGGTATGTTAGCCAAAAAAAAAAAAATCTCTTTATTCAAAAAGGTTTCTGAAATGTCTTTACTGGTATATCTTACTTTACCGGTAAAGTAATACAACTTTACCAGTAAGATATACCAGTTCCCAGGTATATCTTACTGGTATACCTACTGCACCTAATGCTTCATACATATATTGTCTGTTTTGATAAACAAAAACTAAGGATGGACATCTTTAGTAAAATCTCCGTTCACATAAACAGAGATAACGTTCTTTCCTAATTCTTAGTTTTCTTGATAAAAGTAGATGCAGTTAGTTAAGAAAAAAACTACTGAAAGTCTTCTCAATATAAAACAATACTTTGCAAATTGAAAAACAGATTTCAAATTATTTCAGAAGTGCAATCATTGAAATGTTCAGTTATGTAGACTCAGGTGGTAACCAGAATGAGATAGAATGACTTCACACAAGCTTCCAGAGTAACTAGTCTGCTCAACAGAATACAATGATTCAGAGACTTATTCAGATACGATGAAAAGATAACTTAAATCCAGATGGATACGTTTTGAAGAACTTTCAAATTTGATGTTAAGTTCATGAAACCATACCTTAAGGTCTTGACTTAAAGCATACATTTTCTCTTTGGATATCTCAAGTTCTTTTGTCATCTTTTCACACAAAGCCGTCATTTTCCCAAGCTGTAAAAAACACGGAGGTCAAAAACACTCTTACGGAAGACCTATATAATCACTTGAATATAAAGGAAGAATTTTGTATAATAAATTTGTTTTCAATTCCTTTGACAATATTTATACTCTCCACTATCTGAATAATGTGCTATTAAAAAAAAAAAAAAAGAAGAAGAAGCCCTAAAAACTGTTTTATAGTGATTTACGATAAATAAATAGCAGTGACTAAATCCCAAACAGAGCCCATCATTAACTTTCCCATCAACTCTCAAAATATCTGACAAAAACATAGACTTTGAAGTGTGTTTAAAATGCAGTAAGTTCAAATTATGATTCGGGGAGTGGTTTGAGAAAACAAGCTTGCAAAGTCACTGGCCTTTTGCACAAAGTGTCCAGCTAAGAGAATAGTCTCTTGCTTTTTACTGAGTGCTGCCCAGCAGTCAGATACCAAGAAGCAGCAGTAATGATCCCAAGAGAGACGTGTGGACTTGTCAACTTTTTTGATTTTAGAAGCAACCACCTTAGTGCTCCATAATGACCACTAGCTTAACTTTCAGGAAAAAAAAAGATAATAACACATCGCTATAATCTTTGTTGTTGGTTACCTGATGATAAGGTTAGTTACACATTCATCTGAAATAAACCATCAAATAGATATGTACTACACTGAAGGCTACTGCTCACACCTGAACATTCAGGAACAACTCCTAAGTAAAATATCCCATTTACAAAATTTACAAATTACTCTGAATTTTTTGTTGTTGTTCAAATTCAGATCAGAAGACCTGGCAGAACCCTCAGAAATAATTATGGTAAATTGCAGACTGCAGTTGGAATATTTCCAGTCTTTTTATGGTTAGTAACGGTTTAGTAGCTGTTTCTCTCTCCCCAAGCATATTCTAGCCTCTGCACTAGAGCCTCTGCACATTCTGCACAGAAAGTCAAAAGCTTATTCTCCATCAAAAACAAAACACGCATACAACTTTCAGTCACACAAACAAACTGTATCACTTAATCTAGTCATTAACACAGTAAATTAAAGGTGACAAATTACAAGTTTACCAGTATATTTCACATGCCCACACAGGTGTACATGTATATTAATAATTCCATCAGTATGTGCAGTATTGTTGGAAATCTCACTACAAAAATAACCACTACATAATTACTCAAAACTAAACCGTTACTGCTGTGTATTAAAACATCCTATTTTTATTGCACAGTGCCCTTCATAGTCCCTTTGAGTTTTACTGTATTATTACAAACGGTTTTATTACTATACATATATAATATACAAAAAACAAAAGCAGTGTTATCTTTGGGGATGGGGTAATCAAGAAGGACAGAGCACTGCCCTTTCTGTGCACCATGAAGGTGCTCGGTGATCTCTGGCTCTGTATGACAACTTCAGGGTCAGTCACATGCAGTCCTACTGGGAAGTCTTGTGGCAGGTCATCAGTTGGTCCTGCTCTGCTTGCGATTTATTTTTCTTGACAGTTCATTCTTCTTTCTGTCAGAATACTCTCTTTGCTTTCTTAGCAGCCACCCCCTTGGTCTCCCCACTGCTGTCTCTGGCACGGTTTCACAACAAAGCACATCACTAAGCCAAAGCCTGCTGAGTCGACTTTTCAACTGTGCTGCACACCACGTGACACTCCTCCTCCCAAATAACAATTCGCTGTGGGTAATATGTTCCTAGTTACTCTGCAGCTTCCAGACTTGGGTCTCAGAAGAGTTTCATAATGACTATACACATCGGCTCTCTTATCTCACTGGGAGAGACCTAACAGTGCTTGCTGTTTACAAAAGTATAATTGTTTCCATGGTCACTTATTTTTGCGCCCACTGAACAAACTCAAAGGTCTTCCAGGAGACCATGCATTTTCCTGTAAGAGGGGCAAAGCTGATATACTTTTTTTTTTTTTTTTTTTTTTAATATTGTGAATGCCTAGCTAGACTATGCATTTATCAAAACAGAAGACAAAACCTAGAAATGAAAAACCAGTACTGGCATTTTTACAGTCTTACTACACCTTGGTCTTCTGTATTTGCCAATGTTATCCAAAGATAAGCTAATTAAAATTTTGTACAGAAAAGCTTTAACAAAGTGTAGTTAACTTCTCTCTACAGCCTTTAAAGCTACAAATTCATAAAACATTTAAACCCAAGAGGATTAATTTAATCACATTAGCAATACAAATGAGAAAATAAATGCAAGATTGTGACTTTTCAGACAGTAAAATAAAAGGTCAGTAGAACTGCATGAAAAGCTTTTCTTTTTTTTCATGGGTAAGACTCCAAAATTGAAATGTATCAATTGCCATCTTAGGTATCTTAAGGAAAGTACTGTCAAGGTACTATTTTACTTCAAAGACTGCAAAACACCATCAAAAAGTAGAGACTTCATCATAAACACACTCATCTCAGAAAATTATGCCACTTTTTAAATATACAAGGGAAATCATATTTGCATATCTGATACAAATGACTGTTGAGTCTTAAGTGGTATTTAGGAGTACTGTAGTATACACTGCCCGAACTCTTACATCTTGTCTTCTTTTAACTGAAATCCTAGATATGGAAGACCTATTTCCATGAATGATTATTGAAAATAATAAGCCCAAAAAATTAAAAAAAAAAAAAAAAGTGGGAAAAAAAAACTCTTTTCCCCGCCCCCCCAAATATAAGTGAAACTTTACCATAGGGCAAGCTTAGAGAAATAGTAGTGACAGAGGCTATTTCTTTTCGTATATGTGAAGCTGTCAGCTCAACATTCCCTCTCTTCTGACCTTTGTTACAAGCAAAGCGTATGTACTGCTGCAGGCTGAAGGCAATACATATAGAGCCAAACAGTGCAAGTGTTACCTCATTAGACGTATCTTCCAGCTTGTTCTGGTAAGCTGTCAAGGTACAATTCAAAGTCTCAAGGACAGAGAAGCTTGAAGGTTTATCTTTGTCCTTACAAGTGCCTAAAGAAAAATAGAGAATGAAAATTAAGCCCATAAAGCCACAGAGAGAAAACTACTCGCACTGGATGAGAAATATTAAAATTAGTTAGGGCTTCAGTGACAATACAAAACACTGAAGCCTTGCTTTCCACAAAAGATAAAGCTGAATAGCCATACTTTCATAGCAAATACAGCTGAAAGACATTTGTATAAAAGTTTTAATACAAGATACAGGACTGTAAATTCTGGATTACATTTTTACCTAATGTATTTGGTATGCAGTCTCATATATAATTTCTACAGTGGTCAAAACTGTGTCATTCAGTCAGACCAGCCAACATTAAAACCACACAATAACACACTTTGAAAAACACATTGCCTGAAAGTTAAGTATGTTACACTTTTCTTGACATTATTTTGCTGTTGTGACTAAGCATGCAAATTATAATGTAGTACTTCATTTACTCAAAGCTTTACTGAGCCAAAGATCACATGACTATATTATGCTTGGAGAGGTCTTAAAAACCTTTTAAATGATCTTGAATTTCATTCCAAAGGAAATAATAAAAAAAAAAAAAATATTATCTGTCTGCAGAGTCCTACATAATGTTTCAATTATAAATCTTCAAGCTGATATATCCATTATATACACACTATACTTATTTATTAAACTTTTAGATAGAGACTTCTGATCTGGTTGCCTTAATTAGGGACATATGAACAAGTCTGAACATTCCAAAGCCTGTAGTACAATGTGCTAAGAAAGCAAAACAACCCTATATTGATCAAGAGGTCACAAGATGTCAGCTGATATTAAATTTCCCAGAAAAACGTACTCGTTTTTTCTGGTGTTACAGCAAAATAGCAAGTTATTGACAGATTCCTCTTCTCAGCTTTGTTTATATTAGTATGCAACTTTTATAAATCCATTTTGTAACAAATGATAACATCACCTTTTCCTCAAGCCTTAGAGATAAGAATGTACAGGGCTTTTCCCTATTACCCACTGCATGAATATTTTGAAGCGATCCTATTGTACAGAAAAAAAGAAAAAAAAAAAAAGTACTATTCTTCTACACTTCTAGCTCCAAGAAAGCTGTTATGAGTAATGTGCAATTATCATCAGTTTTCCCAGAATGGCTCATAAAGTCAAATCAGATACTAAATACTAAGTCTTTTAATTGGGACAGTCTCAGTCCTGAATGAAATTTTGTCAGTCAGAGAAGGTGTCCTTACAGACTTCCAAGTTGTTACATTTTTATTTTTTTTATATAATTCTATGGTTAGTATTATCTAATTAGTATGACATTCTAAAAAATGAGACATCCTGTATGCCACACATAACACTATTGTTAGTGGAAAACCTGCACACACATGCAAGTTAGAAAATACTGCCAACATCCATTCTGAAAATTTAAGTTTTAAATTAATACTGCCAACATCCATTCTGAAAATTTAAGTTTTAAATTAATTACTGACTTCTTTCCCAGCCCTTCAATGCCAGAAAGCATAGAGTATGGCTGAGTACTATTCAGATTGGACACTAACTTTTCTATTCAACTTGCTGGCCGGCTGTTTCTGTCAAAGTTATGCCTAGAAAAACCAATTACAGTTTTGTAAATTTGTTTTCAGTCTCAGGAGCATAATCTGCCCTACAGCATAAAAGTGAACTTAGAAAGAATGCACGTAAAAGTGAATTTAAAAATAAGGCACATCTCTAGGACAGAATGCTGCTCTGTCTTATCAGGTACCTCCAGTGGACAGCTACATGTATTTTCCACAGGTTCTAACCATCTACAGAGTCAGGGAAAAGCAACATCTTCTCAATGGGAGTCCAGTGCCCTGACTCAAAACTCAGAGTCTTAGAACTGTCCCAGATGGCAATTTAATACACTTACAATCATTCTGAGAAAAAAATCATAAAATCTGACCTTTTGTGAGAAGTTCAGATTTTAGACATAAGTAACAGATCTGTAACACCTTACAGTACTGCCGTTTTACCATAGCTAAAGTTAAGGATGCACAGGACTCCAGGGCTGTCTTTTCAATTACAAAAGCAATTTTATTTTTTGTAGGAACACTTAGCAGTGAACCTGCACAGAAAAAAAATAAATAAATAAATAAAATAAAAATACTGTTATTCCCTACTTCTAGCTCCAAAGAAGCTGTAACATGGAGTTATCATCAATTTAAAATAATAGCCATTAAGTCAATCTAGCAGTTGTCTTCCAATCCATATTTTTCATCAAGCTGTCTAAAAAATGTATCTTCATTTCTGAAGTCCCAACCTCCAGTGCTGTCCCTAAAACATGCCTTTGAACTTAATTTACATCATGGTTGCCAAGAACAGACTTTTGCCAGTAAACTTTCCATCCTGGCATTCTTTGCCTTTGCTGCAACCTTATTTTCTAGGCAGCCCAGCTTGCCAACAGAAATACCAGATTCCACCTTCCTGCATTAGCTGAAAACAAGCCTACAGCTTTAATACTGGCCAAATGTTGTCTGTTTCCATACAGCTATGCAGGAGACATGCAACATAATCCAAACGGCACTCTCTTGCTGGAGAGGCCCTACTTAGCAACAAGGGGGAAAACAATACTTGAAGCATTTGCCCAGTATCACCTAAGAGTTTTGGGGAAAAATCTGGGGAAAATGCCAGGTTCAACATGACTCTGACAGAAGGTAAAAAGATGAGTAAACTACTCTTTCAGTCTTTCAGCTTATTCAAACAGCTAAAACTCTTATCTCTTTATACTTAATTCACAATTTTCTTTTTTTTTTTTTCAGATTACTGCAACTTTTTTTTTTCTTTTTTGCTTAAAATGAAGACAAATTTCCCTGAGCTCACATCCTACAGGTGAAAAACTGCAAAATATGACAAACTGAATATGAACAAACTGAAATCATGCAAATTGGCCAGTAACAGTAACAATGCTGTGGAATATTTATAAAGGTCACTTAAAAAGAGGAAGATGTAGATTGTGCTTCTTAGTTTGGAATCTATAAAGATTTATTTTGTTTTAATTTCTTTCAATCTGACAAATATAAAGTCTTCTTCTCTTCCTGGATAGCTCCAAAAGCACAGCAACTATCAGCACTTAAATGAAGGGTCTGGAGCCTTTATATTGACAGATTTTTAAGGCCACTTTTTTGACCACTGGAATTGAAAGTTTAAAGAAAAAAAATCAAAACAAGGAAGATTGTCCAGTCAACTGTAGCTCATGTAGCATCAATTCCCCACTTCTGCTAATTAAACTATGAAAATTTACCAATGATTTTGACTTTTACTGGCATCAAGGTGTATCCATTTCAAATAAGACATTTTTCTTGAAAAATGATATTGTTAGATAATAAATTCCTAAGAGTAACACATTAAGCTGAGAGCATTAAAAATGTTAAGTTTCACACTTTAAAAGCATACTGAACATGTAGAACAAATATATTCGTCAACATCCACTTCAGTATTAAAGACTCAATCTACAGCAGTGCTAAATTTGACTTTCTTCCACAACTAAGCCTCTACAGAGACACTGAAGCTTAAAAAAAGATCCCTTTAAATAAGATCTTTGGAAGTTTACCTCAAACAACAAAAGCAAATTAATACTGAAGTTACCAAATCCCTAATAAGATAGAAACAGGTTAAAGCTGTTCTCTGTGAAGTTTATCACAAGGGAGAACAGAAAACCTACCCAAAAGACAATTACTGCTTTGGAACTGCACTTTGGCAGCAGCATCCAGCTCCCTCCAGAATTGCAGTATCCCCTCTGGGCATGTGGAACTTTTCAAGATTGAGGAAAACATACAGATTTGAAGAGCTTTTCAGTCTGACATATCTGCAGTAAACCTATAGGTATTACCCACAGGAATTACACTTACAATTACAGAATAAGACTGATACCAGCTCCCAAATAAAAGTTATATAGCCCATATGAAGAAATCAATTTATCACATATGCAAGGCTAGGCCTTTGAGAACAACAGAATTTCTAGGAAGTTCCTTTACTCTATTTTAACAGTACTAGGCCTTAAAAAAATCTTAATTTATATGTGTATCTTTCCCTAAAGATGTTATACCACCTTTTATGTCTACTGGTGCTAAACATTGCAGAAACTTGTCATCACAATTTAAATCAAATAAATTAATTTGCCCTTTAAGAAACTTTTGATCTGTTTTTGTTTTGTTTCGTTTGTTGTTGTTGTTGTTGTTGTTGTTGTTTCCAGTTTATTTGCTCTGTAAACTGGAAGCTTTTTGTGTCTAGCATATGACTTTCTAACAGAAATCACATGGAGAATTTTTCATATACATAGCGTTAAATGAACATTTCAAATGAGAAAAGTGTATTGTTTTCACCCTTTAAAAAAGATCACAAGCTTTTATGTTAAAATTCTGTTTGTTAGCCACAATTTCAAATGTTTATGCACGCAGCAGTTTGTTGACTGACAACTACTAACTTGCAATTCATTATAATTAGAAGAGAAAAATAATTGTATTAGATCAAATGAATGCAATGAATGCAATACAATACTAGTGCACACTCAACAGCAAAAAGTATTGTGTTATATCATGTGTCCTACACAACCTTTTTGAATATATGACCTTTAAGTTGCTGAAGGTTGCCTGAGAATTTGGCTCAGTTCAGGCAAAACATCTGTTCCCTTTGCAGGTATACTGTAAGGACTTTTTTCTCAGTTGGATTTAGAGCACAGCAAGTGAGCCCTTTTCTGACCGATCATATACACCCCAGCATTTGTAAATCAAGCTCTGGGCTGACAACAGCAGGTCCACATTCCGTCACCCTTTCTCAGCTAGGAAGGCCATTTGACTGCTGTGAGAACCGCTCTTATCATGTCATCAAATCAAAGCATGTTGAGAAGAGGGAATGCAAGAGGCATCTGCAGAATTCCCACAATGTAGTGACTTTGGAACATTGACAGATGCATCTGTCATTTTATACCTTCAACTAACCTGCTGTCCGCTGGCCTGACATAGCAAAGCTGTCCAAGAGTAACTCCAGCTCTCTCATGTTGTTTTCATACGTCTCTGTTAGAAAGACCTGGTGTTTCTTGGCCTTTATTTGACAGGAGAGACAGACAGGAGAAGAGGGGGAAAAAGAAATCCATTAAAATAGTAAACATAAGCAATACAGATCATGGTATTTTTATTGTCTTTTACATTTAGATTCATGTTATACTTTTAACACTTCTTTTCCTGAGTCAAATGAGCTAATACCACAAATAATTAACAGGGTTTCATGGAAACTTGAAACACATTTAAAATAGAAGATAAGGCTTCAGGTAATCAAAATAAAAATAAGAATTGGTCTAGAAGATCTTCTGCTTTAAAAATATCTTAATGAATGATGCTGCCCATGAAGCAATATGCAAGCAATGAAATCTATTGTTATACCCTACAAGGGCATCCAGAAAGACACCAAACTACTGGCAGACAGTCTAGAAATTCATGATTTGGCACTCTGTCAAATCCCACACCTATTCTCATTGCAAACCTGCCTACTTCAATTGTTAATATTTTCCAAGCTTGATAGTTATTTCCTCAACCTCAGAAACTTCTCCCTATGAATGGAATGTAAAGCAGCAGAGCCTTTCAGCTTCTAGCATTGAATTTTCTTAAAGAAAGCTGTTAAGTGCAGCTTATGTTCAAATTAAAACACTTTTTATATTGAGGGTAGAACGGTATTATAGCAGAGTTTTTAATCAATGCAATAATATAGACTGTATCATATAATTCTTTCAATTTATATCCAATATTAAAACTTGCAGGTTTCAAAGACTGCTATTACAGATGCTTCTGTAAATCCAGACAAGACCAACATCCTGTTGGACATACGTAGCTTTGACTTCTAAAAAGAAAAGTATAGTTTTAGATGATCATTGACAAAGTGTGTTACAACTCACAAGTTTAAAAAAAAAAAAGAGTAAACTAGATTTAAATTTTTTTCATAATTTTCTTATAACTAGGTTTATGTTCAAAGATGTCAAAGGTTATGTTCAAAGATGTTATGTTCAAACTAATTATTTTTAATTATTCAGTTTTATTCTAAATTCTAATACTTATTTGACTGATTTCCACTTCTACTTTGTTATGGACGTTTACCCTCTTTGCACTGAGAAAAATCCTACTGTTTTGTATCATATCTATAAACTATTGCTTTAATTATGCTTCACTGCACATGTAAAGACCCAGTCAATTTCTTAAGTGTGGGAAACATCCTCCCTAAGAAAACTGCTACTGCTACATACTGGTAGTGTATAACTGGCAGGCAAAAAAAAAAAAAAAAAGAAAGACTTATTTAATTCTCTGCAGTGTTCTTCACTACTCAGTTTAAATATTTTATAAATTTGCTTTGCTCTTTCAATTTTAATTATATGTACTGTATATCAACTAATATATTATTCATGTGTGTATTTCAATGTTAGGTCCCCTGTAGCATTTACACGCCTTTCCTTGTGTGAGTTTGTACTACACTTCATAAAGAATTTCCAAACCACTTCTATATATTTAAAAATAAGAAAGTTTTAATTTTTAGTCTATAAAATTTTCTATGTAGAGAGAGATTGTATTTGCTGAAATCCAGTAAAAATAGTTTACAGGATGCAAATATAGTAAATTCATTACTGTCCTGTACTGATATAATCTCAGAGACCTCAGTTATTACAGATAAGTTAACAACATGATCAGATCATTGTAGAATAAACATTCTTTTTTATATAAAGCACTCCAGCACAGACAAAAGCAAACTAAATCTTCCCAGAAAAACCCTTTCCCATGAAAAATTCAAATGTGAGAATTCTTTTTCTCTATCCTAATCCAATTTTTTCATTTGGTTTAGTTAATTTACCACAATTTAAACAGTATATTGCAGTTTATTTAGTCTTCACTACTGTTCTGTGCTTTATTTGCTAACTGCATCCATACTCTCTAAACCAATTTCAGTCTCTGTTTTTCAACAGCAATAAAGATCAAAGCAAAATTCTTTAGACTAGCCAGTTTCTCCACACTTCTGCTGCAAAAAGAACTGTATCCTTCCTTTCTAACTCCCATTTTCAATCACTCTCTCCCATTATTAGAAATGAATACTGTGAACTACAGCGTAGGAAATCCAGCCACTGGATAAGAGTACAAAAGGGTCTGAACATATCGATCTAACTTCTTATGTCTCACTGACAGGTACCTAATAAGAATGCGTAGAGTCATAAAATCATGGAATAATTTAAACTGACAGGATCTCTGGAGGTCACCTGGACCCACTCCCCACTCAAAGCAGGGCCATGCTTGAAGTCAGGTTAGGTTGCTCAGAGCACTGTCCAGTCAAGTTTGGAGTATCCTCAAGGACAGAGATTCGACAACCCCTCCAGGCAACCTGTTCCAATAGCTCACAATCCTCACTGTGAAGTGTTTTTTGTTGTGTGTGTTTTTTGTTTTTTTTTTTTTTTCCCCTTACAGGTAGTTAGAATTTCCCTTTCTAAAACTTCTGTTTGCTCTCATACTTGCACTGCACAAATCTAACGAGAGCATAGCTCAGTCTTCTCCAAAAGCACCCATCTGATAGTTCATGGCAGTAGCTGTAACTTCCTTAGTTTTCTTTTCTTCAAGACGAACAAACACAGAGAGCATATATAACTCTGCTTTGAAAGGGGAAATGGAGTCCACTAGAGTGTAGAAGTCAAATATAATCAGTTGCAGCTGCTGAAAGATCTCTGCCAGATCCAACTATTCGAGCAGATGAGATTACTTCTCTTCCAGCACCTCCATCCATCATCACGTTTGCGTTAGGGGATGTCATGCCTGTGTGAATACTTGTATGAACGTTCCCTAGATTACTTCAAAAGGGAAATTAGGTGACAAAGTGCTAAAGCCTTTACATAAGGATGGTTTGCTTCCCAGCCCTTATGAGGTGAAAGACCACTTGTAAAGTAAGCCTTTTGCTGACTTTTCTTCACTTCATGCTGATCAGGAGTGACCATCCTTGAGCTTGGAGGTGATCTTTGAAAATCAAAGGCAACAGAAAACCTCCAAGAACGAACAAGGACCTCCCAGGTAAATTCAAATACATAAAGAAAGCACACAAAAGGTGGAAGTGGGGACGGGTGACCTGGAAGAAATACAGAGACACTGTCAAAGCATAGAGGACTGAGCTTAGAAAAGCTAAAATCCACCTAGACTTGAATCTAGCAAGGCATAAAAAAGGCAGAAGTAAAGGTATCTTCACACAAATCCCTAGCAAAAGGAACACTGGGCAAAATGTGGGCCTGCTACTGACTGGGGAAGGAGATCTGGTGATGAGGACCCAAGAAAGGCCTTCTCGACGCCTTGTTCACCTCGGTGCACAAGACCTGCCTTCATGAATCTCAGTTCCCCGAGATCAGTTGTAAAGCCTGGACCAAGATGATTTACACTCAGTGGTGGAAGACCAGGTTAGGAAACGTTTGAACAAACTGAATGCACACATACCTGTGGGACCAGATGGCATGAGAGATGGCAAGAGCTGAGCAAGTAGGCCAATGTTATTGTCAGGCCACTTTAAACTGTCTTTGAAATACCTTGGTGATCATGGGAGGTTCCCAAGGACTGCAAGAAAGCAAAGATCACTCCTGTACTCAGAAAGGGCAGGACAGAGGATCCAGGGAACTTCAGGCAAGTTGGCCTCACACTGATCCTTGAGAAGGTGATAAATAAGTAATTCGGGAAACCATTTCCATATACATGAAGGACAAGAAGGTGATCAGTAGTACTGAACATGGACATACAAAGACGAAATCCAGCTTAACTAACCTGACAGCCTTCGACAGTGAGACAAATGTCTTCAAGGTTGAGGGGAAACGTCATGTCATTTATATTGACTTTAGTAAGTCTTTAGACATTGCCTCCCATAACATCATCATAGACAAAGTGATGAAATATTGGATAGATAACTGTACAATGAGAAAGATTTTAAACCGTCTTGTGGGGCTGTAAGCAGGCAAAGGGTTGTGAGCAGTGGCACAAAGCTGGTGTGGCTGGTATCCCAGTGGAGTCAGAAGTAGAGCTGATGCTGTCTAACATCTTCATTAATGACTGGGATGATGGTCAGAGTGCACCCTCAGCAGGTTTTCAGTAGAAAAGTGGAAGAATTGACTGAATCACCAGATGAATTTTGCTACCATTTAAAAGGCCCTGCAGCTACTGGAGAAATGGGCCAACAGGAACGTTAGGAAGTGCAAGAAAAGGTTAAGTGCAAAGTCCTGCACCTGGGGAAGATGCACTTCCACATGGCAGCACAGACTGGAAACCAACTTGTGGTCAAGTGACCATGAGATAGCAATGTGTGTTCGAGGCAAAGAAGGCCACCAGTATCCTGGGCTGCACTACAAAGCCGTCACCAGCAAGTTGAGGGGAAGTGATACCTTCCCCTCTACTCAGCCCTGAGTCTGAGTAGAAAAAGACAAAGGGCCAAAGATGACACAGGGACTGGTAAAACTGTAATACAAGGAGAGGCAAAGAGAGCTGGGACTGTTTATCCTAGAGAGGAGAAGGCTCAGGTGGACTTACAATGTATGTAAGCACCTGACGAGAAGATGTGGAGAAAAGGAAGCCAGACTCCTCTGTGGCGCTCAGTCACTGGACAAGAGGCAATATACACAAACTAAACTACAAGAAATTCCATTTATATACAATAAAAAAAAAATTTACTGTGAGGATGGTCATACACTAGAACAGACTGTCCAAAGTCATTGTGTAGCTTCAGTCCTTGGAGATATTCAAAATCCAGCTGGATACAGTACTGAAAAACCTATTGTAGCTGACCTTGCTCTGAACAGGGGGTGGATTAGATGATCTCCAGTGATGCCTGCCAGCATCAGTGACTCTGCCATTCTGTGTGATTATTCTGAAAGGAAGGTACCCACAGGGAAAAATGAAAGGATAGTCTGGTTGAAGCAAATAATACTTCCACTATCATGCCTAATTTCAAAAAGCCCAAGTGCATGCATGAAAATCACTTGAGAATTTTAAATTCTCCAAACTTATATTGAGTATTTCCTATCCCTCCCAAACACAATTCTCCCCCTC